CTATCTATCTATCTATCTATCTATCTATCTATCTATCTATCTATCTATCTATCTATCTATCTATCTATCTATCTATCTATCTATCTATCTATCTATCTATCTATCTATCTATCTATCTATCTTTTTAGCTTATGTGGATTTCTTGGGACACTGATAGTAATTTAAAGCTTGCTTCATATTTTCAGTAACATCTACACTTGCACCATAAATTTATTTGCAAACTTTTGCAAACTTTAGTGAAATGCAAATGAGGACACAACACATCACCAAGAATGTTTACTTCGATTAACCAATTACACGAATGTTTAGCTGTTAACGCATTTTGACTTGTAAATATAAGCTGGTGCCCATTTGCAACAAAAGACATTTGTAATCTATCTGGGAGCAAGAGGAAATATTAATTTGATAGAAAAAGAAAATGAATGAGTCTTCAGCGTTGTACACCGACTGTAATGTGCACCTCATCACACCAGACCTCAACGTCATCACAACATTAGCTGTTTTGGTCACCATCACAGCAACCTTCGTGGTGTTGTCAAACGTCACCATCGTGGTGGCCATGATGGTGTCACGTGGCGCACGTACAACACACAACGACCACAACATCACAAAACTTCTGATCTTGTCCATGGCATGTGTGGATTTTTTAGTGGGAACAGCACACATGCCAATCTATACCGTACTTCTTGTGCATAACGGCAACTGGATTCTGGGAGCGCAGTTTTGTAACATCTTTCATGGAATGAGCAATGTCTTGTGTGGTGCCAACGCGTGTCATATACTGTGTATAGCTGTGGATAAATACCTGGCGGTCTGCAAACCGCTGGTGTATAGAATCCTTGATAAAAGAATCGGTCAAGTCATGGTCGTCCTGTCATGGAGTCTACCGAGTGCAATGTTCTTACTGCCTCTGGCGACAGCCTGGTTTGCGACAAATATTGAAGAAATGCCAAGCGGTGGTAAAAATATTATGTTTTGTTCACCTGTCCTCAACAAAAATATCCTTATCTTGTTTCATATTCTTGGCTTCTATTTCCCGATATTAACGTCTTACCTTTTGTACGCGCTCACATTTTCTGAGATTTGGAAATTCAACCAAAGGAAATATCGTAATGCAAAACACAATTTTCAGTTAGATCTAAATGTCTCCAACAAAGGAGGTCCATTTCCGTCCAAGTGTGACAGTGGCTCCATCTCGCAAGGAGGTCCATTTCCGTCCAAGTGTGACAGTGGCTCCATCTCGCCTACTTCAAACCCACCAAGAAACTCGAGGAGCTCTTCTGGAAGTTGTGAAATTAAAACTATGCAACAGACAAGAAATGTATCCTCTAAAATGGCGGGGGAAATTGCGTTGTCCGGACGGATTTCACGAAACATCAAAGCTATCCGTACACTCGGGACTATCATCGTTTGTTTCAGTGTGTGCAGGGCGCCCACTTGGATATCCTCTGCTCTCTTTGTATACATGGGCTACGAAATACCATTTCGTTATTTTTTCTATGCGGGATTGTTTGTATACGTGGACTCGGGTATCAACCCAGTAATGAGTGGCTTTTTCAAACCTATCAGAAAAGCCCTGGGATATTTACTGTGCAATGTTAAAGAAAATTGAATGAATGATGTTAAACAAACCACTTCCTTTAAAACAAACATCTACATTGTTGATCCTCATTTGAAAGTTTAGTGGGTTTTTTTCATATCAGAAATGTGCTTTGAAAAATAAATGTTTGATCAAAGAATTTTTTGACATTTACATTTACGTTTCTTTCAAGCACACACAAAAATTGTGAACACCATTTTTAGCAAATGTGTAACGAAACAAATCTTGTAATATCAAGAAATAAATTTTTTAAAATAAATTAAAATAAATTGAAAACATTATCTGTGCCAGTGAAGAATTTGATTCTCAGATTTAATGTAAATAATTTATTTCATGGTTAATGTCATGTAAGATAGAGATGGTGTCTTTGTTTTCGTTATTTAAAATAACGCTGTTATAATTATGCTCTGGAATGTTTCGTGCAATTGTTGAGTGGGTTGACGAATACGTTAGACACATTTTTTAGCTGCTTAATTTAAATATCACCATTGAAATGTAAGTTTTAAAAACACTAGAGTTGTTTTATTAAAAAAAATCTTTTCATTTAAATGGCTCATTAATTCCACACTGGATATGGTGGGCTCGGGCGAGAGAGCGACGTTGACACCGCGCAACTCTTCCTCACTTTAAACAAAGGTCACCCGCGCAAGTCATCAGTCACCAGATGACTCGATGGTCATCGTCGATCCTCGACGGACGAACAACAATTACAAAGCTATCAGCAAAGGTTACAAGTAAAAATGCGTCGTACACCTTGCCATGGGTGAAGCAGTCATTCGTTAAATCCACTCTAGGCACTCTAAAAGTATCTCTCTCTTGAGCTTTGTTTATTGTTATGATGAAGCAGACCTTTAGAAAGATTGTGGGTGGGGGTTATCAGATTTTCGCAGCAGATTGATCGGAGTGGCAATTTTCAGACAGAGATTTTGCGTTGGGGAACTTGTTGATTAAAAATGTAAAGGGGTTGTAAACCCCGTTCTCTACCTCAACCACGGATTCCGCAGACTAACATCTCACAAATCTTCTAAATCAACTACAGAATCCACAGAATGAGATCTCAAAATTCTTCCAACTCAACCACGGAATCTACAGAGTGATATCTCACCATCTCCAGATTGTCAAAGTAAGAATCATTAATGCCTGCTGCCCTATCATTTAACTTTGTAAGAATTGCTCTTTCCTTTTAAGCCAAATTATTTGTGTGTAAATTTCTCAAATCTGAGAAAAAATGTCTATAAATGCCTTTAAATTTCTGACAACTTCACAGAGATAACAACGTAATACATACTTTGCCAGCATGCACCTTTAGCGTCTCATCTTCAATTTTGAGAGTAAACATTTGAGAATTCCTCAAATTTAGATCGCCCTCGACCCTCATGTTAACTCGGAAGAATTGCCTTTGGATTTTCGGATATAGTTGGAATGACTTAAGACTGGCATCGACCTCATCAGTAGCTAGAGAAACGTTGGGTCAAGTATGCCTGAAGTTTCCGGTCAGTTGCACATTCATCCAACCTATAAATACATTTATTACAACGGATGTCTTGTAAATTTCTCTCTAGCGCTTCTATTCCCCACATTGGGCCACGGTGAGCTCATCCCAAAAAACAATGCACTTCCAACGTACCTGTGCAGTATCATTCTGTTTCGAAATGTTGCGAACTTGTTGCGAGGTGATTCACTTTGAAAGACAGTGTGAAAGGCAGAATGACTTGCCGTTAAACCATCCAACAAATTTGTTCAAATTCCCTAGGTAGCTATATACATTCCATGCACTTTTCTTTTATCAAGCTTGCAAGTAACCGATTCATAAAATAAAAATGGTTTTTCTTGTTCCACATTGAGTTTTAAGAAAGGACAGCCATCCAGAGTCTATCCTACGCTACTAGCTACTACTCTTTGAGATTGATTTTACTTTTTTCAGCATTAAGCTTTTTTTTTTTTTTTTTAAAGTTTTGAAGAACTGATTCAGAAAGTTTTACCACGTCGTAAGATAGTCCCTGTTAGCCTCTCGACACTCATAATCAACCTGTCTTTGTAAATCCCCAGAAAGAATATAACAGTAGGAATATGTTTCCTATATAGTTAATGGATCATAAAAGTGGAACTACGCAGACATCCGCGCAGAAAGTCTGATTTACTTCGATGCCCAGCAGATGCGTCATGCCTGTATAACGGAGCCATTAAAAGCAATAGATCGGTCCCATAAACAGAAAAGTAATATTTGAGTCATAACTTAACATTTTCCACTAGCGTTTCAGGCCAATTTATTATTTTTTTTTTAAAAATCACTTGTAGGATCCTGTCTATTATTGTGCTGTGTGATACGTGGTCAATAAGTGTTAAACAATTTTTTTGCTAGATATCTACATTTTTCCCTTTAATTTTACTGATTTTTCTTGTTTCTTTTTAAATTCATGTTTACTGTCTGCTTAATGTGTAATAAAAGTTATTAATATTTTCCTAATTTACTTGAAGTTTTTATTCTCTAATATGTGAATCTTATTAATTTACCTGTTTAGTTAACCTTTCAGAAATCTAATCTAATCGATATTAACATTTAGTTTTCCAACCCTAGACAACAAAAAAAATAAACTATCCTTAGAGTGTCCTAAGGGTAATGCGGTTGTTATAAAAACTTTTTTCGGCCACAGACTATTTGATAAGTTAACGTCGTCCACAGCAACCCATTAATAACATACAGAATTAACCTTCTAAAGAAGTCCAATAGAAGATTATGACGCAAATAAATATCAGAGTAAAAATATAAAAAGAGAATTAAAATTTAATAAAATAAACTGTTCTTACTGATTTGCGATCTAACTTCGGAATGCAGATTACAATCGGCATAAGCTCTTTGATCAGCTGATTTAATCAATCATTTTGAATGGATAAAACGATGCAAAAAACCAATCAATAACTTAAAAACATTTGTTTTCATTGATTTTAGACAATTCAAACCGAGGGCAATAATTTAATTGCCCTGAAAATTTTTCAAAGTATCCTAAAAATTTAAAGGTAAGTGGTATAATTGAACAAATAGTATAATTTAAGACTGTTTAGATATTATGTAGGAAATGAAATCTCTATATTATAAGTACAGTGGCGTAGTGAGGATTTAAAAAAAAAAAAGAAAAGCTCCCCGCTAGAAAGAAAAGAAGTAAATAAGACTTTTAAATAGACACAAACATGCCAACAAGAGCTGACGGGTCGAAGGATGGTGCATGGGGGTTAGCATGAGAAATATAAATGTTTCACTCCATAAGCTGCTCACTGCTTCATCTGAACAAAAGTTGATAGAATTCAATATGATATGAATCTGATAATCTTTCGAGTTGAATTTTTAAAAAAAATTGGACAGTAAAAGTCTTAAAGGCGAAACGAAGATTTTCAAGTCTACCGACTTTACAAAGGGCGAGTTTCAGAAATCTGGCCTTTAAAAACAAATATGGCATCATTTGGGCTGTGGAGGGAAGTGGCTCAAATGGAAGGGGTCTGTTATGTGTGACATTTTTTTTCTTTTGTTCAAAATTTTTCTATTCACGACTGAGGTAGGCCAGTAAATATTTGTTAACGCATTACGTTTGTTAAATTGAATAGAATTACTTGAGTAGCTGTAGCAAAAGCGTACACATTCAACTCGAGATGGACTAGCCATTAGCTAAATGACGTTATCATCTTTCCAGACACCGGTGGCTTTTGAAATGTTAAAACATGTGTGGAAATATCAAATTAACTATTTGTATGCTTGAGCAATAGATTATAAATTATAACACCGAACCAATCAGTTATAGAGGCGCTGCCAAGGGGCGTTAGCTTGAGTGCCATGTTGTGTCCATATAACGAGACCTTTCGTTTCTTTCAAGTCTTGATTTTAAAAGGAAGAGCGCGTAAATAATGATTTTACCACAATTATTTTATGTTTCAGTACATCAAGATGTTTTAGAATTCGTGAGGGTGAACAAAGCACACTAGTGCATGAAATTGCACAGTTAAATATAAAAATATATCTTACTTTTAAAAGAACTTGATAAATGATTTAATTAAGTAATTTTGGAGGGACGCAGTGGTTATTCCTGAAATTAAAGCTTGTTTAAAATATTATATCCCATAAATGTTTCTCAATGAAAGTCTGCAAAACGTTTTTAAAAGGGTAGGTTATTCAAATTCTGAAAGGTGCAAGGAAATTACAAGGGTAGCCTCCCTTCGCATTGTGTGTGTGTGTGTGTGTGTGTGTGAGTGTGTATGGTGGGGAAGGGGGGGGAGGAGGGGGTCCTCAGGTCCTCAGGGGGTCCCCAGGTCCTCAGGGGGTCCCCAGTAATACTAACGACGGCAGTTCTTTTATTGGAATAGTACATTAAGACTCAGGACTTAAATTTCCATTTAACCTTTTGTTATTGATTCCTACTTTTTTTTTTTAATGTTATCATCTTTAGATGCCTGGACCAACTCACCAATCGTGTCCTTACTGGGGCTACTTACAAGCGTGGTAAAGAGCTAGGTAGTTTTTTTAGCAAGAGGTGGTAAATTAAGTTCATTCAAGGTTTGAGCAAATAATTTGCTTATGAATCTCAAGCTTGACATGCTCCTAAGTAAATCATCATTTGCTTTTATTTTCATTAATGTTTATTTTATTAGTTTTTTTTTCGAAACTCGTAAATTGCAAATCACAATCCTTACTATCAGATAGGATAGTTTAGTTTGTCATTGTTCAAAACCTTTTGGAATAGAAATTTAAAGTAAAAATTAATTAATTTTTTCGTGGTCTTATTTTCAAGAAATATGAACAATATTTTGTGTCCTATATTAATTTATATATAAAAAATATTTTCTGGGTACATCCTGATTTATGACCGGGCCGTCTGTGTACACATTAATTGTCCGGCCTGAAATTTTGCACCCAATATTTCCTAAAATTTTGATGAAACTAAGACACAAACACATATTTATACAAAAGAATAAGATTACATTTTTAAAAAGACCACAGTGATACGATGATTTGTGTGCAATGTTTTTATTATAGATTGACGAAATTTCATCCTCATAATCGTAAATTAACAGATGTAATAAAAATAATATTCGATTATCTAGTAAATGAGAATCTCTGTTAGTTCAAACATGTTTATGAAACTTCAGATATATAACGAAGTTGAAATTACCCCAACAGTGAACCATAAATTTTTATCAATTTTTAACATACAAAACTAAAATAAAATTTAAAAAAAATAACTACAAATCATAAAGAAGAAGATCCACTAGTGTTTAAACCTTTGACGTGTCTGAACAGAAAACTGAACATACGGTCATGCTTTCAACACCATATTCCAATGGAAAATATACATTCAAAATTTTGATTAAAATGTATTTTATTAGTAAAATATATGACTCGCTTAACATCGCTCTCAGTCAGTTTCTTGTTACATTGCACAGGAGATATCTAAGGCATTTTCTGATAGGTTTAAAAAAACTACACAGTACTGGGTTCATGGCTGAGTTCATGCAAGCAAACCATCCAGCAAAATAAATATAAACAAACGGCAGCGAGTACTCCATGTACACATACAGAGCAACACACACCCAAATGGGCGCCCAGGACACACTGAAACAAACGATAATAGTGCCGAGCGTGCGAATAGCTTTTATATTCCGTGAAATCCGTCCAGAAAACTCGGTTCTACCCTGCACTTTGGAGGATACATGTTTAGTAAGTTCTTTACTTTTGATACTTACAGAGAATCTTGTCAAATTTGACGACTTGTTTGAAGTACACCAGACGGATTGACCCTCACACATGTTTGAAATCTGACCTCCTTGTATGGAAAGGTTTAACTGATCATTGTTTTTTGGATCACGATATTTTCTTTTGTTGAATTTCCAAATCTCAGAAAATATGAGCGCGTACAAAATGTAAGACGTTATAATTGGGAGATATAAGCAAAGAATGTAAAAAAAAAGAAGAATGTATTTGTTAAAGACAGGCGTACAATATGTCCTTTGATCATCAGCAGCATTAGCCATCTCTTCAGGTCTCGTCCCAAACCAGTCTGTGACCAGAGGCAGTAAGAAAATTGCACTCGGAAGACTCCATGACAGGATGACCATGACATGACCGATTCTTTTGTTAAGGATTCTATACACCAGCGGTTTGCAGACCGCCATGTATTTATCCACAGCTATACACAGTATGTGACACGCGTTGGTCCCACACAAGACATTGCTGAGGCCAAGGAAGATGTTACAAAATGTTGTTCCGAGTATCCACTTGCCGTTATAAACAAGCTGCAGAACATTTATCGGCATGTGGAATGTCCCAAGTAAGATATCCACACAAGCCATGGACGCCATCAGGAGTATTGTGATGTTGTGGTCGTTGTGGGACGCACCGGTGTCACGTGACACCAACATAGCCGTCACGATGGTGACGTTCGACAAGACCACGAACGTTGTTATCATGGTGGCCAAAACCGCCAGACAAGTGATGACGTTGAGATTTGTTGTAATGAGATACACGTTGCTGACAGCGTACAGCTTTGAAGACTGATTCATTTTTTTTTCTATTAAAATAACTATATCCTCTTGTTTCAAGTACGGGATTGTAAATGACTTTGATTAGTTAACGGTCGCCAGCTTTTATTTCCGAAAAACCATTAACCCTGACAGCTAAAGATGTGTCTCATTTATTTATCAGCGTCAGCAGGTTTTGTAGTGGTGTGTGTCATCTATTTAAATTTCTCGAACACGTCCAAACACATTCAGCGTCCAAGTGTAGAGACAACTGTGAACAGTAAACATGTTTTTTTTTCAAAACGCCATCAGTGTCCTTTGTTAAAAAAAACACGTCAACACAAATTGTATTTTTAATTTTATTGCGATCAGAAAAATGATGTGAATGTCTCATTACAAGAAGGATATCGTAACACCCCCCCCCCCCCAAAACGAGACTATCCCCCATGTTCAGTTCCTTTTTAATGTTATATTTACATTTCCTGGAATTAAGTATTCCGACTTCACCTCACATCTCCACTCTTCCACATTTCTACAACGAAAGAGTTTAAGTATTTTAAGTGCGTTAGAATTACAATTCGGTCCTCAAAAAATGGATTAAAAATGAAAACTCCCGAGAAACGCATCGGTCTAGAATTGTTGTGTCCCCCCCCCCCCCCCTTCCTCTTTTTCGCACCACCACAAATAATTCAAAGTAAAATAGTTATCTTTATGTTAAGACTTCTCTAACATTTTGACTTCAAGTTAAAAAAAAAATATAACTCCAAAAGCTTTTTAAACTTCTATAAATTTCTTACGTATAATTTACTCAGAAAAATGAATATAAAGATTGAGTCAGCGTTAATAGCATATATTAATCCACCAGTTTATATCACGGGCGTATGAAATTACTGTGGCAACAATGGTGTACAGCTAAAATATGTTTTTGCTTTTTGTTTTTTTCTTGCAGCAATGTATAACATTAGTATTAGTATAACATTAGTAGGAGTATAACATTAGTATTAGTATAGCATTAATATTAGTATAACATTAGTATTAGTATTTCATTAGTATTAGTATAACATTTTGTTTCAAATAAAAAATTGTTTTATTGCTAATTTGGTTAATAAGAAAGATTGTATTTTCATGTTACTCCATTTTTAATACACTAATAACATTCACAATAGACCAAAAAAAAAATCTGACCTGATATCAATCATAGTTTATGCTGTACTTCAAACACAATAAATATACTTGTGACTTTCTGGAAGCTGTGCAATATCTTTTGCTGACAATGTACCAAGTCACATAATCCGGAGACGTGTGAATGGAAACAGACCAACTCCAGGTTCCTGATGGCAGAAATGAGTCTCGCCGGGAGTGATGACCTTCTGAAATATGCTCCAACTGCTAATGCTGTTTGACAAAGCCATTCACAAATAATTTTACTTTGAACTTCACATCCACCAGATTACCATTAATTATGAATTCGATTCACTTTGACATTTACTTTAATAATCTAGGAATTGTCTTCCCTTTTTTAAGCACTGCAGATATAATATTGAAAATATTCTTGAAAAAAAATATATAAATGATTCATTTACAGTTTATTTTTAAAAAAAAAATCAGTATTGAAGTTAGTTTTAAACTAAATATAATTTTAAAAACAATATTTTAGGGAAAAAAGCAATAAAATAGTGGAGAACTAACAAACAGTTAAATATTTCGAAAACATCTCAACAAGGCATCAATCAGTTGGTTATTGATATTAAAATTCTATTATAATATAATAATGAATAATGCGCTAGCAAAAGAAAAAAAAAACATAATCGTAGTCTCTAACTCGCTTGTGAGTAGCAATAAAAATAAAGGATTTCCATACATTTAAGCTTCTATTCACACAACAGCCTCTGCAAGTTACACTGTTTATTTTCATTACTAACTTTCATATTACCATGTTATATCGTTATTTCTTTGAATTTGAATGTTTCAAAATTGTATATTGCTTTTTATATATTTTTGATTGTTAAAAAATTCTAATAAATATTATTTTAAAGTGCAGATGAGTACAAAAAAAGCCGTTGTCTTTATAATTTCTCTCAGTCGAGTTAATCTTACCTTGCATTGCGCATTAAACATATTATGGCGTTTCTTAAGAAAAGTTCTCCTGAAAACATATTGACAAACAAAGGATGAATATGGATGGGGAATACGAGTCAACCAGGAATTTTATAGTTTTTATCAGGATTCCACGCTAGTAACAGAAATAAAAAATGCAGGCTAGGCTGGGAGAGACACTTAGAAAGAATGCAAAATGACAGAGAAAGGAAGAGGGTGCACCAACGAAACCCCAGAGGAAAACGAAAGGCAGACCTAGGCTTAGATGGATGGATGATTTGGAAAACGATCTACACCAGCTGGAAATCCAAGCATGGAAGGTATAGGCGAGGAAGGCCAATGCCCTAAATGGGCTGTAGCACCACAGGATGGATGGAATTTTTTTTAAGTTTAAAAATAAAAACTACACAAGTGTTTTTCGCCCAGCAAGACCCAAGATTGCATCTACGCCCTTTAATGAAAAATTCTCTGCCATTAGCCGAAAATGCCAGACCTTGACACATAAAGAAATAAATCCTGCATGTTGTGGAACCCGCCCTCTGCTCCACTCTTCAAACACGAAAAGACGGTAATTGGTTTAGGGCTCATTTCATGTAATCAAACCATCACACACACACAGAAAACATACTAAAAGGAAGATTGTAATCGTTGCTTGCATCGACGGCATCCAAGCGGGCGTCTACAGCAAATTTCCAGACTACCACCATGAATTTGATCAGAAGCGACACTAACATGGCTGCCTAATGGTGACAAAAGTACGGACGTCGTTATCGTATTGTCAAAACCTGATACGGTAAAACTGTGTTAGAAAGGTCCTACAATTTGGGCTAAAGTCTAACAAGGTGTGCACCACTGTCAGCATTAAACGTTAAAGCCTGATTCATTGGATTTATTTCAAAGATTTGTACGTTACTTTCTTTTCCGTGAGGTGCGTGTGAGGCTTTTTCTTTTGTGTTTACTTAAACTGCTTTGCTTAAAAATTTTTTTTATCCCTGTTAGTACCCCAATTAAAACACTTTAATGTCAGAAATTTAGAAAGTGATAAGCGTTATATGCAATCCACTTTATTAGAGAATACATTCTGGCTTTTGGTATAAAGAGAAATGCCATGGACAAAAACATTTCAACAATAGGGCTGTCTCGTGGATTTAAAACAAAATTAATTTGAGGGGTGATCAGAACAAGCATGTATTCGTAATTTTAGTACTTATTTTTGCACATTTCAAATGCATTACTGGTCTTCAATCCAATGATCACGCAAGCTATACCTATGCTGTTACGTTCTGTTATATGATTGAATATTTAATCTGTTTTAAGATTTGGCTCGTTAGATGAATAATACGTAAAAAGGGAATACAAACCAGTATACAACGAAAAACTACACAAAAACTAGTTATAATAACACTATTACATTTAATTATAATATTAATTTTATTTAAAAGTTACAAAATGAAATATATACAGTGTTAAATATATTAACTTACAGCACATCAAGTGACAAAGTATAATCATAAAAGTATACAAGTATTAATACACACACGCATAGTAAAATTGTGTAGGAAGTGTCTAGGAAATCTAGCAAAATTCTATTGTCTGGGAGGTTTCCAGCTTATTTATACATGCAACATTGTTATAATTCCAGAAGCTCTTTCATTGGCAAATACAAATGTCTCAAGTTATGGAGAAAACAAAATCCATTTTCTTATTGGGATATTTCATTTATTTTTTATTTATTTTATTTTTCAAACGTAGTTGTTTGAAATAAACTGAGCTGAAATATTGATACGTATTTTCGATCATATCTCCGAACTTTGATATCTTATAGACAGCACTATAATATATTTTTCACAATAGTTTTCACTAAAAATCAGAGATTTGCAAAATTTCTTTTAAAACAATATAATGCATATTTTACAGCATAAGATTTGTTTTCTGTCCTTGTGTAGGCTACATTCCCATTTCTTGCTAAGATCAATTGTGTAGCCTGTATGTCGACCGAATTTTTATTCTCTCCTAGCCGGTGCATTCAACATTATTTCCCATTTCTTGTTTTGAAATTGACGTCGCCGATAAAATGTGTAGCGCAGCAACTTTTTATTCATCCCTCGTTTGATTGGGGAAATGCTGGTTTACGTTCGAATGCTTTCTAATTTGTTGCATAGAGTGGTGTCACGTGATGCGATGTCCGGATTTTTGTTAAAATAAAGGACAATGATGTAAAACCTGGCTAAGCAGGATATTTTAGGAAGTACGATTTGACTGGCAAATATCACTCATATATGAACGTTTTCATAGCATTCTCCACATCCTCTAAATCAGGCCAGCACAACGCACGGCCCCCACAGGCCGCCAGCACCCACTTTGCCGCCCGCGAAGTAACGAAATATTTTTTATTCTTATTATTTTCTTTATAGCTATCCCCCCACCTGTTCTATTTTCTTTTGGCCCGTACAAGTCCTGTCATATTTTCTTTTAGCCCGAATAAATTTTTTTTGAAGTATTACCCCCCCCCCCCCCCCCTAACATTTTGAGTTGTGCAGGCCTGCTCTAAACCTAACTTCCCACATCCCCTGGATAAAGGTATGGTGATGACATGTTTAATGAATATACATGCAGTTTCAACGATGGCGTGTCCTCTTTATTTAACGTTCTGTACTTCAGAGATTTACAAATGGACAAGTGTTTATTAATTGGCTTTAAAAATATGGTAATAATAAATAAAAAATAATAAAAAATGAAGAAATAAAAAATGTTGACAAAGAACAATGCATGCAGTCACAAACTTTTTTTCAGATTTTGGCGTAAAAATTAAGATTTTTCTTTAACACAAATTGAATTAACGACCAAAGATTTGGCTTACAGACCTGTCAGATTTCTAACCTTGATTCTCACTGACTTCATAGAGCAACACAGAAATGGGTTGATGGTCGAGTTTAGGAAAGAAAACCAAAAGAAAAGTAAAACAGACCATTTTGGTTGGTCGTAACCGGTGTATTGGATGGTGACCAGATACAGCGACGTCGGAATCCAGGAGACGGTGAAGGCCGCAACGATGCATCCAATGGTTCGAATGGCCCTCATGTGTCGGGAGATATGACGAGGTATTCGTGAATCAGTTGAAATGTGCTCACTTTGTTTTATTTTCCTTTCTTTTTTTTGGGATAGTTTGGTATCTGGCTGAATGGTGTATCTACATTGTCTCGAATTGGGCTCTGCAACATAACCCGCTGTCATGTCGGATAAAACTGTGATGCTTATGACGTCGACACGTGTCAAATTTTCGGTAAAATCTGGAAGTGCTGAAGGTTTTTTGACGTGATTGTGTGGTGACCGATTGTTAAAACACCAGATTTCTGTAAATATTCGCGCATATAGAAAATAGGTCACAATGATGGGACCGTAGAACGATAGGATTAAATATGAGACGAATACTCCTCTATTGAGAACGTTGAAGCAAAGGTTTCTCCCGTCGATCCACTGGTCGGCCAACTCCAGACCCATCTTGTCAAATCCATTTATTTTTGGTAAAAGCGTGAGAGCTATTGGAAAAATCCAGGAGGCGCAGATCATAACTCGAGCAGTTAATTTTTTCATCAACCTGTACTGCAAAGGTCTACACACGGCGATGTATTTGTCAACGGCCATGCACAGAATGTGGCAAGCGTTCACGGAACACACAATATTTGTTACGGCCAGATAGACACTGCACGTGACCTTCCCGAGGTTCCATTGTCCGTTCTGTATTATTGGTACAACTGACAAGGGCATGACTAGCGCTCCAAGAATGCTGTCAGAGACAGCCATGGAGCTCATAAACATAAAAGTCATATAGGATTTATGGGCGGTTTTGTTCCTGCTGCTCCGCAGTACAATTGCAATGAAGAGAATCACGTTTGAGATTACGGTAAATAGAGCGAAAACAAGGGCGGCAACCGCTAGAGCTACTAATATCTCCAGATGAGACGTAATGTGAGTATCCATTTCGAAAGTGGACTTAAAAGATAAGGAAAAAAAAATGTTATTAATGATGCTTTTAATTTCTATCGATAATTTATCAATAAAGAATCACGATATGCCCTTTTTAACATCGTATAGTGTATCGGTTAAATGTGTTAGCATAGAGCCACGCCGAAGACCGTTGGCGGTCAAGTCAAGGGCTAAAGCCTATCAAATGTGAAGAAACTGTTTCTCTGTAATAACTTTCTGGAGGAAACATTAAAATCAGGACCATCAATGATACGTGAAGAGGGTATGATTTTATTTCTTAGAAAGAAAAACAAAATTAGCATTAAAACATATTTAGCCAGCTTTCCTATTGTACACCGCTCTTCAACACGTGACCAGAGCATCGCAGCTGCTTACTACAGTCTCGATGCGCCTCTAGATTTACATTAAAGTTTTATTATTTATTGGTTTGCATCATCCTACTAAGGCTGGTTTTGAATCATTCGACTTATTTAAAAAGTCTTTAATCGAAAACCTCGTCTTTAATCATGTTAACACTCAAAAATGCCACACACGAATTTAAATAATTGTACACACAAATTCAAAATGCCAACTAAATGGAACAAATGATATCTGGATACTGCCACCACTTAATGCTCAATCTGGTTAATGTAAGCAACAGCCACGAACATATTCCAAAACAAAAATGTCCAATAACTGTTTTTAACTAGTGATAATTTTTCGATTAACTAGCGTGATAATACCATTAAATCTGACAGCAAACACACAGTAGTCACCTAGAATAATCGATGTTTTGATGCTAAGCCCACACTGTTTAAATTTTGAAAATTTTATCTTTACATTGGTACAAATGAACGTTTGTTTCTTTCTCCCTCTCTCTCTCTCTCGATCTATCTCTTCTCTATCGATCTATTTCTCTCTCTGTCCCTCTGCCCCTTTCTCTCTTTCTCTCACTCTCTGTCCGTGTGGTGGTATTTTGTGCTTTAACATTATGCTATACGTAATGCCCAGAATGAAAACTGCACAAAATAACATTGCAGAGAACCACATTTCGTACTCATATATGCTGGGAGCGTACACTTTTACTATATTATGAAATACAAATTAATAAATCTTAGGCTATAAAATATTTAAAAATTGATTTACGAGTACAACATTTTTTTTATTTTAAATTCTGGGGTAATGAAAAATATTATTTCATATTTGAAGATCCAACCCAACATAGTGTTTGTCTATCCTCATATAATCACAGTTTCAACTTCTCTTATTAGTCTTACACAAATTAAGCTAAACTCTAATGCCTCGTACTAAGTCTTACATCATAAAGTGACAATTCTGAATTAGTCCTGCATCCTAAAGTAATTCTAATTTCTCTAACCTAGTCTTAATCTTATAGTTATTCTAAATCCTTCTTACTTTATCTTGAATCATATAATAGAAATTCAAATGACTCTTACTTAGTCCTGCATACTATAATCAAAACTCTTAAATTCTCTAACTTTGACTTGCACCATTTAATCACAAATCTATTTTTTCTCAATTTTTATGACCGTATAATATCACAACTTAATTACTTCTCTTGCTTAATCTTACCTCACATAATCACATCTTCACGAAACTTGGTCTTAGTTCCTTTGTCCACTTAAAACAATATGGTCTTTCATTGTTAGCCTATGTAAGAAACAGATCAATAAGTCTAGAACAATGGTCGGAAAACTCATTAGGCAAAAGAGACAAAAAATCAGCAGCAGGAAGATTTTAAAAAAAAAAATTGGAGAGCCCAATTTCTTTTCAAGAATCATGTTTTTCGGAGTCAAAATCGATTTGTGGCCGACTGGCCGAACTACACTCAGGTCACTAAACAGCCCCATGTGGCTCGCAAGCCGCGATTTGCCGACCACTGATCTAGACCAATCCATCAGACGCTTAACATTCTTGTAAATAACTAGCAGCTCTTCCACCCGGACATATGGATATCCACCCAAGCAGACAACAAAATAATGTTAAATACCTCTTAGTAAATGTAATGCCATTAATGTCCATTAGTGCAGTGAGATAGTGTATAAAAAGGTTTCCGGTTTATCTAGTCTGATGTAAGCATTTACCCGAACTGTTTGAAATGTCAGCACACGGTTATAAAATGTTACTGTTTTCTTTGTTACGTAATGTAAACAAGGCAATGCTTTTAATTCCACGATCCATCATCGTATCTCACGTCATTGTTTTGCAGTAAAAAAAATAAAGTTGTCTAATTTTCGGTAATTTTCGTGTAGTATGCGTTAATATTCGTGTGATATTCCTGAGGAAAAATTAAATTATAATAGAATTATTTTGCTCCAAATTATATTGTGGTTATGATGTGTTTCATTGCTTGACATTTTCCTGCACACTTGGTGAGCTCAAAAAACTGGATGTAACAAATTGGTTTAAAATAATTAAACTTTTTACAACTGCACATTTCTGAGTTCGTATAGACAGCTTGTCAAGATGTTTACAAAACCGGTATATAATCATCAAAATTGAATGTGAGACATTCTGAGAAAGCTATAACTGTTATGGGAAAAAAGCTTTATAATTACTATAAAAGACCTAGCTTTGTATGTGATTTCAACACGGAAATTTCCGATTTTGACAGCAACGCCACAATAAAACAAGAGTATGTAACATCAGATCTGAATGTCCTTGCTATGATTTCTGTTATACTGTCACGTTTTGCAGTCTTCACCATACTCGCAAACCTAACCCCCATCAAAACCGCCATTAAAACTATCCAGGGTAACAAAACTACAACTGGAATCCACATTGCAAAATGCTCATGGCTTCCATGGGATTTCTCGATGTCTTTTTTCGGAGAGGTTCTCATGCCATTTTCTATTTTTTGAGATCATCAACAACGGAAAGTGGACCCTTGGATATTTATTGTGCGCAGTGCTTTTCGGAATATCCCACACCATGACAGGCGTGTCTTTGTATCACATTTTGTGTATGGCTCTTGATAAATTCTTGGCCATGTGTACGCCTCCGCGGTATCGAGTATTGAGTGGTAAAAGTGCTTACTTCATGATCGCGGTCTCATGGATACAACCTTGTTTGTGAACGCTCCATTAAACTCGAAAGTGGCTAAACACCGAGTGAAAAATGTTCAGAGTTGCTACGAAGTTAAACAGTTGTTTCATTCCGTTGTGAACCACCAACTACTGTCTGGTATATTCACTGCGGTCTTTTACGTTCCAAAGACGTATTGTAATTGTGTGTGTGTTCTTCGAGACATCCTTAAGTTCAAATAAAATGAGACACAACTTGAGAAAGCCAGGCCCTCTGATGCTTGAACATGGAAACAATTGGGAAGCTGGAGAATCAACGCTGAACTGCGTTAACTCATTGTGCAAAGAACAGATATCATCTAGAGGGGCGTGCACAAATGAAAGTTTAAATATATTTACAATTGGATTACAAAATGATGAGCTGTCCAAAGTTGAAAATTCTTCAAAAAACTAATATCCGTTCATTCAAAACGTTCATCTGCATTGTCTAAAGCAAAGAACACTATTATAAGACTTCAACCAACTAGAACAGCTTTGAAAGATGTATATCTCCAATAATTTAGTCTTGCTTCCAGTGGCCAGAGACAAAAGAAAATAAAACACTACGCCGTGGCAGTAATAGCCTCGAGGCTTTCCGTACTATAGGAACCATTGTGCTGGGCCCTACCCTCTATAGGGGTCAGAGTTTATGCAGTAAATGTTTACGTCATGCCTCTGTGGCTAGTCGTGAACCGTCTACGTGTCTGGATTCTTGAACTCGTCTTTGAAGCCATTCATTTATTGTGCCAACAGGTCAGTTCGGCAGGCTTTTATGTCATTTGGTATGTTCAAAGGCTTGACAGATGATTATGTGTTCCCATGGAAAGCAGGCAATTTTAAAAGGCTTGATTCTATAAAACTACTATTTATACGTTGTTTCCGGTGTACAATAATATATTGTCTTACATATTTGTATTTTAATAAATAGCTAATGACTTATTGTTAGTTGTTTGCTGAAATGTAAAAAAAAAAAATTATGAAAACATTATTGTAAAAAAATTGAATCCTTTTTTTTCATGGTTTCAGCAATTATTTTTAAATAATTAATCTACCATTTACAAATTGAAGAAGACATTGAAATTTAAACCATATGGAGTGAATACTTTTTTTAAAAAAACGTCAATATATTTGTCCTAAGGCGAATCTTGGAAGAATAGTGTAAAATCTTAAAAAATATTTTAGTTGACTTCGATGAAGATTTCATATCTTTTAGGATTTTTGGGAAGGGGGCGGCTGAAATGTTGGATTTTTTCCGGCGCTGGTTACATCCCGAACAAATTTTAAAGCAGCTGTCACTCGAGTTAAAGGTATGACTAGATAGGATTCTTTTAAAGCCACTCATTCTGACGCTATGGATAGGTCTAAATTTATTGTAAATTTTCATCCCCATAACCTTAAAGCTCGTTTTCTGGTTCTGAAAAACCACTGAATTCTTATGGCAGACCCGGTCAGCAATGAGATTTTCAGAAAACCTCCTCTTTTCGCATTCCGGACGGATAAGAGCCTTATGGACATGCTAGTTAGAAGCCACCTCCCTGCTATTAAAGCACATGAAGGCACAAACAGTTGCAACCGAAGCCGTTGCAACACATGATTGATAAGATAACTTTCTCTCTGGAAATATTCAGAATAAAAGATGGCTTTACCTGCACAAGTCGCAACTTGATTGGCACCATCTTTTGTAAAACGTGCGGTTAATTATACGTAGGAGAGAAAGGTCGTCGCCTTGGAGACCACTTCAGAGAACACCTCTACAACATAAATAAACAGACTCTCTGTCCGGTCTCCAAACATTTCAATGGCACTAACCATGATGAAATTTTAGACATCGCAGTTACTGGTATACTATATACTGGTATAATGAATACTAGTAACACACCGGAGAGGATCTATATGGAGAATAAATAAGATAAGAAGATTTGGTACCTTGACTTTATAAGGGATATACAAATCCACAATTTTACGTAACTGCCATGTTTTTTTTTGTTTTTTTTTCTGTTTGTTTATTTTACATTTGGACAGTCATTTCCTTTCCATTCTTCTTTACTTTGTTTCTTGTCTGTTTTTTTTCGCCCAATCCTATTTTTTCTCCCCCATTTTAAGGTAGAAAAAATGTATGTATATATTATGTAAATTTAATTTATACTTATTAATTTCTTTTGTTGTTCTGATGAAGGCATGTGCTGAAACGTATACTTGTTTATTAGGTAAAATTATTATTAAATCTTAACTTTATAATGTTATATTGACACAAATTGATCGTGTCTCATTAATCTAAAGAATATAGGCACATGGAACTCACATTTTGTTCATATCTAGAAAAGTTAATTGGAGAAGGAACAATCCTGAGTTTAAAAAAAACAAAAAAAAAACAAGTAAACATATTACAGCAGTTTTTAATGACACTAAGCTTAATTTGAGCCCAGCAGTTTTGACACTTATAATAATTATGTTGGACACCTGCAAGACTCTCCAAAATTGAGGAATTCTAACATTAAGTTTTGCTTCTAAAGAAACGCATTTGAGATTATTTTAAAGGAAACCTAATTTTGTTTGAATGAACAAAAATCTACCTTTATTCATCTACTACAACAATCTACGTTGATTCCTCTACTACACCAATCTATATTGTTTCTTCATCTTCTATAACAACCTACATTTATTGATCTAATACAAAAATCTACAATATTCATCTATTACAACTATCTACCTTGATTTGATATACTACAACAATCTACATTTTACATCTATTACAGTGATCCACAATTATTTGTGTATTAAAATCTACCTTCATTCAAACCCAATAGTGTCATTTCTTTCTGTCTATTTTCCAATCTTATTTTCGGACGAACACGTTAGTTGGTTAAATATTTAACAGCACGTTTTTTTTTAAATTCTAGTAAAAAAAAAAACGTGGCTTGGTCAATCTTCATTACGCGCGCCTTGTACATTGAACATCGCATTTGAACACATGAGAAATTAAACACAACTGATGCACGACTTTTTCCGGTGCGACCATTATCAAACATTTGCTTTGTAAAGATTTAATGGTGATACGAAATCAGTTGCATTTGAACAAATGAGAAATTCAACCAAACTGATGCACGGCTTTTTCCGGTGCGACCATTATCAAACATTTGCTTTGTAAAGATTTAATGGTGATACGAAATCAGTTGCATTACGCTAATGTGAGCTGCATTAGATGGACCGTCCGCACAAACGATGGCAGTGGTGGTACGGCAGATTACAAGAGCACAATAACGTGTTGCACAAACTAAAATGTAGGGTCGCTCCCACCATTGTATCAGAGACCAACAATAGCAATCAGGGGGGAACCATCGGAGACCAATTAATGAATGATAAGCGATCAGCAATGACATTAAGTTTTAAACAGCTAAATCAAATAAAGGTTTAGCCGGCACTTTGACATTTAAATAGGAAGTGTCTGAAATAAAGTAAACTATGTTTACATTGGCGATTTTCAACCTACTGTAAACTGTTTAATTATAGATATACATTAAATTATGTTCAAAAAATAAAAATTAATTTCATAAGACATAAAAATGTGTCATTGTTTAAAGGGAATTTTCGAGAAAAAAACAATTTTGTTTAAATAGGCAATGCTAGAGACGCCAAAACACATTTTTACAATATACATTATTTAAAAAAAAAATAATTTGATTAACAAGAATGACACACGAACTCTATAATTCCCCCCTTTCCATTGAGATATTCAAGGACGATTTAAGTATTTATATATGCTCATCTATCTAATATGTACATTATCATCTCACAATGTTAATCTAGTTAAGTAATAAGCAACTTAGTTTTAAGTTTTCACTTAAAATAAATCGCTCGGAAAAAAAATGTTGGGTATGAGAGTGCGCTTAATTCGGATCGGAAATATATCGATTAGCTACATCCCCTTTTCAATCCATTCCCGACATCCCCTTTTTATTTAACTCCCCATGCAACGCATTAAAACAATTTGTAAATATCACTTAAAAGTTGGAATTGGAGACAAAATCCCTCGTCCCTGGTGTGAGAGAGAGATTCAGTTATTTAATGAACTGTGACAACAATGGTCGTGCAGTGTTTGTTTCATTCTCATGCGGTGTTTTGACTGATTCGCTCGCAGTTCTATGTGGTCTACGAGGCAGTTCTATGTGGTCTACGAGGCTATGTTTGGACAGAGTTACTTGGCAATTCTATGTGGTCTACGAGGCTATGTTTGGACAGAGTTACTTGGCTGTTCTTCGTGGTCTACGAGGCGGTGTTTTTGACTGATTCACTGGCAGTTTTTCGTGGTCCACACAAAAATGGACAATGTCGTGTTATTTGAAAATTAAATAAGTAAAGGTGTATTTTAACAATTTATGTTTAGATAGATCAATGAAAATTGACTTTCGTATCCATGTTTGAGTTAAAAAATGTTTTTTAAAATCATTACTTGAATATTAAAAGCATTTATTCCAATGAACACATTACCTGAATAACACTTAAAAAACCTTAAACGAAATGAGCCAAGTCAAAACATCTTTTGGATCTTCTAGAACAATGATGAGCTGCTATAATTTAAAAGTGTTCTTTTGAAGGATGTTATCGAATGAGGCCTGAGAATGATGGGAGTGACATAAAGGAATCTCCTTTCTTACGTTCCGTTTCCACCATGATGTCCTAGGAGTTTTGCACCATATACTATTTCAAAAAAAGAATCTTTTATTTAAAAGTTTGCCCCTTTTACATTTGGAATTTATTTTCAAGGAAAAACATTAACTTTTATGGTTGGGGAATAAAAAAGAACTATTGTTTCTCGTCCTTAGCATGCGAATATGACCAAGACTATACAACGATGACTTGGCAGGTTGTACGATCCAAAAAAAAAAAAGTGTTTACCTATAATTCTTGTCGATGTGCTTTTGTTTGAGTGAAGCGTTTTGCCAATCCTTGGCCACCAGTTACAAGTTTTCATCTGGATATATCATTTTTGACATTAGTTTGTTTTTTTTGTAAGTCTGATATCTGGCATTCTCGCAACCTTCTCTGATCATGTGGCATGTACTAACTTGGTCATCTGGCTTGCCCCTTTTGTTAGAATTCTGATCGATTAAATATTATCACCTCAGGCCAAAAGGTTTATGTAGACATCGTAAATGAAGACCGTTTAGTTGTTTAGCGCTTCTGTTGTACAGTGACCACCAGTTTCTAGCCTACATGAGCATGTTTGCACGACACAGAACTAATAGAAACTATCAAAGGTATCCCACCAAACACAGTGGCAATTTGGTTTAAACAAACAAGACCTACAAACCTTTGAATTTCATGAATGATAATAGAATCCCGATTGGTCTACAAAGCAACTGATCATGAATCTAACGCAAACCTTCAGCTCGGACATTTACATGCTTGCTAGTCTCGAGAACATCAGTCATGAGGTACTGGTCACTGTGTCCGTGATCATCAGCGCGTTGGCCGCCTTCACTGTCTCATCTAACGTCATCGTCATCGTCGCCCTGGTCAAGTCCAGGAGGGTGGACAGCAGGAATGTCATCTCCAGGTCACAAGACAATGGGATCACGAAGTTGACCATGGAATCTATGGCTGTTGCTGATGTCCTGTTCGGCGTTTTCCTCATACCGATGTTCACCATGGAAGTGATCAACAAAGGGAGATGGGAATTCGGAAGTGAACTGTGTTGGATCAGAAAGACCATTAACAATGTATTGTGCGGTGTATCAATTTATCACGTGTTCTTCATGGCCCTGGACAGATTTTTGGCCATCTGTAAACCAATGCTGTACCGCCTTCTGACAGTCAGGCATGGATACGCGATGGTTGCGCTTTCATGGGTAATTCCTTGTGTGGTTTTCATGCTTGTTGAGGGGTTTGGCTGGAACCATATCGGAGTTGAGGATCGGGTCAACGCTTTTGAGAAGAACCGAATATGCGGGAGTGTCTATAACATGGATGTGTTCTTAATCGTCTTTACCCTATGTTTTTACATCCCATTCGTGGCGGCCGCAATTCTTTACGTGTTCGTGTTGAGAGAAATCCGTAACTTTCACAAACGAACTCCTCGTTTCGAGGGTCCCAGTGTTAGTGAGAAATTATCAGGTCTAAAAACAAAACTTAAGAAGAACATTTCCAAAGCCTCTAATTCGGGTACCACACCGGCTGTTGAGCTGACAAGTGAAAAATCTATCAGCAGCCTAAGCGAATTAAATTTGACAGCGGCAGACGATCCGGCGATAAACAATGACGCGCAAAAATCTCCAGCCCACGTACAAGACGTGAATCTCATTGTGTCCGTCGGAAATAAAGAGGTCGTTTCCCTAAGCAAGTATTCCAAGAATAATGCGAAGCCGGGGTCAACTAACAGGAATTTCAAGGCCTATAGGACGATCGGGTGCATGTTCTTCTGGTTTACGCTCTGCTGGGTCCCTACCTGGATATTTTCTTGTGTCCTGGTTTACACCGAGTATTCAGTGTCGGGTTGGGTAATAATCTCTCTGACGCTCCTGGCGTACGCCAATGCGGGTGTCAACCCTTTCATTTACTGTTTCATAAGATCTGTACGTCTGTCAGTAAAGTCATTGCTGTGTGCAAAGTTTTGATTTCAATTTTTAAAATTTAGAGACTTTCATTTAACATATCGATCATTTTTTTTCTATAAGTATTCATTCTGATCCTTATAGTTGTTTCATTAGTCCTTAACTATTTTGCAGCACTGAGTTATCTCTTGATTTTAACAGATTTACCTTTTTTCACTACATATTTTCCGGCCACCACTGTAAAATATTTATAAATTTGCGAATAAACCTCATTTTCTAGGTTTAAACCTCATTCCCTGACACTCTCAGCCACTTTGCTAACGGGAGCTCCCCCTCCCCACACCCTGTGTAAAGCTTAAAAGATTAAAACTATGTACTTAATTCTTTATTTTTAAAATTGTTGTTGAATTTTATTAAGTTATTCAGTAGCGAAGATAATATTTTAAAAAAAAAAAACCTATTGAAAAAAAAACTACCAACTTAAATCTTATCTTAGTGAAGCTTTTTCGATATATATACATCTTTAAAGACACGTTATGTTCTTATTTCATACGTTTCCTGTGTATTGTTGTATTCGCACCAAACAAAATTCAAGGCATTAAAACCTTAAAAAGACAATATATCCTGTTGTATTCATATGTGAAACTCTTTAAAAATAGTGTTTAATTGAAATATAGAAATTTCAACCCCCAAAAAATCATTGAAATAAAAAAATGAAACGTTTAATTCAATTTTGTTGAAATTATATCTGGAAAAACTCAAACACATTTAGTTGCAGGCAAATATGACACTCGCAAACGCATTAAGTTGAATTTAAAAAAAAAATTAAACCTTTAAAAAAATCTTTTTGACATAACATTTCAACAAATCTTAAATACATTTTATTGTTTTGCAATATGAAACTCTAAAACACAGAAGACAAAAAATTAAAAACATATTAAATGCATTCAAATGTTTATAAGTTAAGACAGCACACCTACACAAAATAGTGACGAAGCGATCAGTCTTTATACCGCAATAGTAGTAAGGTAAAATGGGGAAAAAATAATATAATTTCAATAGACATATTATAAAATGTACTATTTATGCATATGTATGTCTTTCAGTTTTTCTCTCTGTAAATTTTTGGTGAATATTTTGTTTCACATCAGCATATCCTGATATTGACTCTAGCATCAAGTGTATGTCATCCAGTAAACATTTTGCTTGCATCCGTCCGTCACAACGTAACGATGGTGTAGCCTTCGCAGGACGACATCCACGAGGCCTGGGATTATTCTTCTAGGTTTAGAAGCTGGTTCAAACAGCTAATCGCCTCTCGCGATGCCTCTGGATAACCCAGGGGAACATCGTGTGGATGATAGCTTGGCGCCAGTGGCGTCGCAGGAGTTTTCGGAATGTTTTATTGTACCAATGTTATCCGCCTACGGGACTCCACATCAACATTAGTTAAATTAAAATGCACCCATTCAAAACAAATAAATAAATTAAAACTCTACTAAATTAAAAAGGACCCATATCATCTTTTGGCTTAAGTGAATACACTTGAGGAACAACTATATCATTTAGCAATAATTTCATTTCAAATAAAAATGTGAAAACACCGCTTGATTTTAATAGTCACAAGTTTATCATATCATTCAAATGTATCAATAGCAGGGGTAAAACGATTGACACATACAGAAACTAAACAAGAAAGAAAAACCAAACCAAAGATTTTTTAAAGAGAGTTTGGGTAAAACGCGATGAAACATTCATGATAAGGGATGACTTGTGATTTACCAATGATGAGACAAGCATTGCCTACAAGAATATTCACATGAAATGAATTATTTATAACACTGATAAGAAAATAGAAGATACAAAATTATTGCATTAGTTAACACGTATTTTAGTCAATAGATAATTTACCTCAAAACTTTAAGGAATAGCAAATTGTGTAGTTCTTTCTGTCATATTAATAGCACAAGAAATGTTTCTACCATTTGAAATTTCAGTCCCAATTTTTTTGCAATAACAGTTCCTTCATGGTCCAGTTAGATTATCATAATTGATAAATCAGTTCTCTTCGCTCTGTATATACCTAATTATTCCATGACATTATATACTTCATGAATTAAAAGAAAAATAGTATTTATTGGAGTGGACATTAATAAACCTTGAAAATATTTGGTTTAATTTTTATGAATAAAATAAAAATCTAACAAAATAATTTAAAAAATGGCAATTTAATTTGCCGAGATTCAACAATTGCAAACTGAACTTGAGTCTCTGCATGTTTGATGATTTTTGCATTTCATGCTAAGTCCAAGAGTTAAAAAAAAATTTTCTCAGCTCTCAAATTACCATTAAATAAAGAAAATACAACAGCAAAGAAAGGACGACGTGGGTAAATGTAAAAGTAATGATGAACTCTGCTTTCAAGTTGAACAGGCTGCAGGCATTAGTCAGGTTCATGTTGTCATCAAACTCATGTACGGCAGGCTGCAGGCATTAGTCAGGTTCATGTTGTCATCAAACTCATGTACGGCAGGCTGCAGGCATTAGTCAGGTTCATGTTGTCATCAAACTCATGTACGGCAGGCTGCAGGCATTAGTCAGGTTCATGTTGTCATCAAACTCATGTACGGCAGGCTGCAGGCATTAGTCAGGTTCATGTTGTCATCAAACTCATGTACGGCAGGCTGCAGGCATTAGTCAGGTTCATGTTGTCATCAAACTCATGTACGGCAGGCTGCAGGCATTAGTCAGGTTCATGTTGTCATCAAACTCATGCACGCCTGTTACGATCCATGACATTGAGAAATAAACACGGAACCATCCACTATAGACATATCCTGACGTAGGCATGCTTGTGGGATACGTAGGCATGCTTGTGGGATACGTAGGCATGCTTGTGGGATCAAAATGTGTATTTAACAATGCACACCCGGAATCTAAGCACCAACTTTCCGTTTTGAATGACCTCTAGTATGCCCAAGGGCATAATAAAAACCACCAGGAGTGCGTCCGCGATTGCAATGGACTGCGTGAGGATTTTGGAGATCTCATTCCGACGTGAATTTACCCGTTTCTGATAGTTGATGTCGGATAAAATAATAGCTTTAGTGGCCGTAACATTTGAAAGAAAAGCATACCTCATCATTAGAAGAAGAAAAGCAGCTGATACCACGTGAAAATGTGGATCTGGGGTCCGTATGACGTCATATTCATATATATTCAGACCAAGTTTGACACATTCGGAAAAATTCATCTTTAGCAAAGTAGAACTAAAGAGAATATATTCCTTTGTCAAGAATACTCGCTTCGGAGAGAGAGAGAGAGAGAGAGAGAGAGAGAGAGAGAGAGAGAGAGAGAGAGAGAGAGAGAGAGAGAGAGAGAGTGAGAGAGTTTAACCTTATCTTAAGAATAACCTTTTAATTTTGATTACTGTTGTCACAAAAATTTACTCTCTAAGCCATTGGTGATTAATTGTTTTCTCTCATTAGAAATATCGTTCAGATGTAATTATTTCAGCTTCATTAAAATTAATATTTAAAATTAAGTAGAATATGTCTCGTAAAAATAATTTCTAACCATTGAAATTCAATTTACCCCATAACCTATAGCACAGATTTCGGAACAATCCATCGTCTACATCAGTGGTTCTCAACCTTTTTAGTGCCGCGACCCTTTTATACAGTTTCTGGTGTCGTGGCGACCCCCAGCCACACAATTATTTTCGTTGCTACTTCATATCTGTAAGGGTATGTGTTTTCAGATGGTCTTAGGCGACCCCTGGGAAAAGGTCCCACGACCCCCAAAGGGGTTAGGACCCACAGGTTGAGAACCGCTAGTCTACATGAAACTTATTAAACCACACGTTCGTTCTCAATTGGGAATGTAGCGATCACCAGGTATAAACACATGTTCCACGATCAGGATGTTCTATTGTCATGACGAGACCAGCGCTGCACTGCCTTGTTTTCATTTGGCTTTCACTTAACATCGAGTGTGCTGAAGAAGTTCGCTTGTGTTCATCTCCCCTGCACAAAGCGTAAAATGATCACCAATGACACACAACAGCACAAGAAGGACTCTGGCCTGCATCAAAAAATTCACTTGGACCGATGCACGGCATCTTGGTGTCTGTCTGTAGACCACTTTTACTCCTCCCAAAATAAGTAAAAATTGTAGGTGTCCTACTTAGCCTAGCCTGTTTAAAACAATTTTAACACAACAATTCTTCCCTCGACCACGTGATTTGTTCTTTGATTTTTACAAAGTGTATATTCATCTTTATCTGCGACTATCTTTCTGGGGATTTCATCTTTAACAGGCCAGACATTGTTAAGCTGTGTACTACTTCAGAAAATACCATAACTATTTTTTACCACCTGTTTTATACTTAAATATTTTTACTTCTAAAATTAAATTCTAATCATAGTGACTGTATATTGTGACATTTTGGTTTAGTAGGCCTTTTTTATGTGATTGTTCCACTTTAGTGTAAATCCAGGCTGCTCTTATGCAACTTAACAAAATCCTAGCACCCTTTACCTTAAACTGAACACTGTTCCTCTGTGATGTCCCACATTGAGAATCACTGATCAAGTGAAACGAACAGAGACATAGAAAAAGTCACAAAATATGTAACTTTTGTAAAAAATTACAATTAGTAATTAAGTTTATTATTTTTCTTTTTTTTTAAATTTTATTATAAAAAAATTATCTTCAGTTTTGAATGAGGGCAGATTGTCTGCTGCATTTGTCAAATTGTAATTTTTTAAAAGGAATATTAGACCTTGTACAATGTACTTAACATTTTTTAAATAACCGAAAAATTTTACAATTGAGATTTCCCAATTTTCCTCTTAAATTTACAATTAAACTAATGACGTTAAAGGTGGGGTGAAGTCTATTGCCTCAAGCCTTCAAACCCCCAGTGCATGATTCCCTCACAAAGTGGCACTGGAAATCTGTGAAATTTCCTCATCAACACCAGGAACAGAAACATTGCAAATCCCATCTACATGCATAGGAGCCAAAATGATCAATAAATTGATCGTGGGCCCTTAAGATATAGAAGAAGAAGAAGAAGAAGTAATTCTTTAAAAAAAAAACTAAAGTTCTATATCAAACTCCTAGATCATTTAGTGTGATAACAGCTTGCCACGCGCGTGAAATCTCAAGTCGGCCAAAGTGACTTGACAGCTCTGCTAACTGGTTCGTACGTGCAGTAGATGATTGGATTTAACGCAGAGTTGATGTACGTGATCCACAGTACCAGAATCTCAGACCACAGATGAATGCTTAAACCCTGTTAAAATAACCAATTTTTGTAAAGCCACACCGTCAGCCAGCACAAAGTGTAGCAAATCATAATGAAGCCGACGGTGCGCAATGCCTTGAATATGTTCGAAGTTCGGTGCGCAGCAAATTTTTGTTTTCTATCTTTCGTCGGTCTTGCGGAACCGTGCGCTACTGACATACAAGACATACCATCCTCTGTACAAAGCGTAGGTTTCTTGGGATCAATTGAGGCAACGTTGGAAATTTGATTATTCTTTGAAGTGCAATGTTTAGTTGATGCTTGGTCGCTATTAAAATGTTGAGTCTTCAAACGTCTCTGCGCCCTTTTGTGATGTCGGTAAACTTCAAGAGGTATGAAGCCGTACAGAAAATATGAAACGTAGAAAGGTGAATTCCATAAGAAAAAGTTTGCAAGGATGAATCTTTTGTCTGAAAGATATTATATTCAGGTTTAACCAATGATGAAGTGTTATAAAGTGTTGCTATTCCAGCTGCCTGAGCATGTAAAACAATTTGTGTTGCCACTGTCGTTAGGCATGTCAATAACCAGGATAGGTCAGTCATAATTAATCCTGTCTTGTACGTCAATACTCTGTATTTCAGAGGCTTGCAAATGGCGATGTACCGGTCAATAGACAGACACATCACGTGTATCCTGAAGGTCGTCCCAAGGAATTGATCACAAATATAACGTGCCCAACAAAAACCTTCCCTTAATGGCCACTCTCCGTTATGAATCACCTCCAAGACACCCACTGGCATGACTAAAATGCCATAAAGTGACCCAATTGCTGCCATGGATACCATTAGTATCTGAGGTGTGATGTTGTCGTTTAAAGAAATTTTATTGTGAGCCCAGATCCATGGCCTTAAAACAGCGAAGATAATCATTATTTTGAATACAATTGTCAAAATGGTGATGAAAGCTAGGAGCAGTGCTGACACCGTTAAAGTGCCAAGATTCTACGTCATGGTCTCATTAGAGGGACGCAAACATTGCATAATGACACTGCAATAGGCGAACGTCATCTAGGGAATTTTTCTGTAAAGAAATAGAGATTATAATATGTTGATCATAATTGTTTCCTACGGAAATGTGCTGGAAAGTAATTTTTTCAACGGATTTTTTTAGGCGGTAAATGTTTTTAAGTTTTTGTGCCAATAGAATTAATTTGATACGTCATTTTATCGTTTTTTATGGTTTTATAATCTTTGTGTAGTATTGGTGGTTCCATTAACCATAGCCTTTTTGAAATATAATAATTTAAAGAAAGAAAGAATAATTTAAACTATGAAATAATAATAAATATAGTAAATTTGATAATTTGATAAAAAATATTTACCAAATTTCAAGCAGCCTAAAATTACAAATAACACCAAAATGTTGTGTTTTTTTATCCATTTGTTTCTATCATTAGGAATCAGCTACTAGCATATTATTTTATTTGTTCCCTTTATGATGAGTGGGGGGGGGGGCTCCTGAAAAGAAGTATTCTTTCAAAATAAGGAGACGAGTATAGATAGTTTGATAACTTCTTTTCTAAGTGTTACTTCAAAAAGTATTTAAATTCTTAAAATACAAAACTTTGAGACCTCACATTGACGTTATTGTTGTATGGAAAGTCTTGTATTATAAAGACTGTCATAGACTGGTCTGACTTTGGGGTAAATGTAATCAGAGTAATATATTTATAATTTTGCTTCCTCACAAATCTTGTGCAAGTGAACAACTTGCATGACATGTTTTCCTACGCAAATAAAAACATTGACAAACACTTTAAAAATTTTAATTAATGTGCATTAGAAGAGTAAATTTAGAAACATATCACTCAGATCTCAATTGAAAATGTACCTTTTTTACAAAAAAGACACCAAAAATTCAAACATAAAAAAACAACAATTGGCCGAGAGCACGATTGAGACAATCCCTTTACAATATAGAGGCAGTGTTCTCCCCTGAAAATATTAAATAATATATTTTTATGCGTCACATTTTTGCACAGGAAAAATCCATTCTGAACGAACGTTAAAACACAACACAATAAAACGATAAGAGAACTTTTCATTTGATAACCAGTAGTTTGAAAGTCAAACAAACTTGTCACGGATCAGTTTGGTAGCAAGTCATTGTCGATTTAGTTTTACCATCCCATTAACAACATTTTAAATAAAACAATCCGAGGCACTGTTTTTCGGATAGTTAACATGGTCACAAAAAATCCTTTTGCCAAAAACGTACATCACTTTAGCTGATGACGTGTCCAGTAACTATCTAAACAGATCTCTGCAATCTCTACGGCTTTCCTTTCAAGTGGCATGATGAAGTTTTTATCTGTTTTGACTGTTTAATGTAACTTCAAAACAAGTCATTAAAATATAAAAAAAACTGGTCTGGTAGCCATGGAAACCAAATGCTATTTCACATTGCTAGTATAAGGTGAAGAATCGATTTTTGGGATGAGACCAAACATAATCTCGTACATGGCCCTCAAACAAACAAAATTTTAATGTAAACTTTTTCAAACGTTTCATTTCACTTAGTTGTGAGTTTTCCCTTTTATCATCATTTCGCAAATATTTTTCAACGATTTGCTCGCTCCAAATGGCTGAAAATGAATGCACGGCCCAGAGAAGTTATATATATCACCTCAACAGTGGGTAACGTTTAAACGTGGCAAAAAAGTATTGACGTTTTTCTTTTTGTTTCTCTTTCAATTTATTTGAACATCTCCAATCACTGATAATGTATGTGAATTCCGTAATTTAACCCAGAAATGATAATAAAATGAAGATCTGAGGGAGTGGCCTTATGTTCCTTCTTGTTTTTACTTTTTTGTGAGTAATGGTTTTATTCCAGGAACTTTAACTAAACTAATATAGTTACATCTCTATTTCCCAGACAAAGTATTTTTAAATCTCTCATTTAGTTGGCTGCCATTTTGCGAATTTGGTGTTGAAATTATTTGTTACAAATGCTTATTTAAAATTTACCTCCTAGAAAAAAAAAAAAAGCTTTATTCAATAATGTCATTGTGGATATGGAGCGTCGATTTTCCGAATTAAATTGTAACGGGGTTCTTTCCGATAACTGAACAATGTCATGGGAATGCTGCGTTTACTAAGTTAGTTACACAGTCTACAATACATCGTTAGACACGTATCAATCTTTACTGGACAGGGTATTAGCAATAACGCCAAGCATTATAAGGATTATATTAATCATTTAAATAAACAAAAAAAAATGCAGTTCGGAATGGGTTTTTTTAAATGCAAAAGGCAATCGCAATAAAAATCTGCACTTAATGTTTTGCAGGGGTGTATCCTGGGATGGATAGCTTTGGTACGAGTATAGGCGGCACGTTTCCGATGCGTAAGCCTTAAAATTACATATATGACCGTCTTCTTCTTCTTCTATAAATTAAGGGACCGCGATCGTTTTATTGATAATTCTGGCTCCTATGCATGTAGATAGGATTAGCAATGTTTCTGTGCCTGGCGGTGAAGAAGAAATTTCACTGGTTGAATGGGCTACTGTAGGGATGTTGCTAAAAGTGTTTTATCAAATTTTATTGAAAGGTGCGCATAATGATCACGAGTGACCTATTCTGTGAACAACAGGTGTACATCTGTTAATTAACGATTTTAAAGATCACGTTGTCACAGTCTGGTCACTGCACACATGTAAGAGAACCCATAGATGTGCCGTGAGAAATGAGTTCCAGAAAATATAAAGTGTGTATGCATTCAAAATCAATTTCAAATACACGTCTTTTTTTTTTTAGTGAGATCTCTAATCGTGGGGGAAAAAAGTGGATACATTCTAGGAGAATAGATCAAAACATATCGTTTTAAAAGAAGCCGCGTCACTGGCAGTCACGTCAAACTAATGATGTCATTGACGTCGAATGAACGATGCCATTAAGGTCCAACTAATGGTGTTCTCCAACGTCAATGCTTGCTTTAGGAGATTTTGCTAATCCTGAGATTTAAACAATTTTCAGGAACTATTTGATAGCAAATTGTGTAAACACACCGTCTTGCATTTGCTCTGTGCATTCCCTCCTTTTACCTATTCCATACACATTTTGAAACTCAAAAGCGCAAAATACGTAGGTTGGCAATTTCGAAATTTGATTGCTTTTAAAATATATTTTTTATGTTAGCATTTAAAATCAAAAATCAAAAACGCAAAATACGTAGGTTTGAAATTTCGAAATTTGATTTTTTTTAAAATATATTTTTTAATTTAACATTTAAAATCGGTAAAATAAATTAAAAAAAAAAAAAAAAAAAAAAGAAAAGAATATCAAGATATTAAAATTTCAAGGCAACCAATTTTCAGAACCATTTAATCTTTTTTTTTAAAATAATATATTTTTATTTTTTTTAAAATTACGAACAAGATATCGTTGATTTTAAAAGCCTTTTGAAAGCCATTACAGACGATATTTTGGGTTAATGCAGTGTTGGGAGATAGCGCGTAAGCCACCTCCTCCCCGTTATCTCTTAATTCAATACATGGCCATAGTCGTCCAGTCGAGACATAAAAAAAATAATTTTACAAGCAAGTTTTTGGTTCGGATATCTAAAGATAAGTTTTAAAACTTGGAATAATAGCTAAATATCTTGTGCGCTTTTATATTTTAAGAATATTATATTAAATTGGCGTTGTATATTTCAAATTATTAGTTTATTGTTCTATATAGACATCTGGTGATATAGTTTTATATATATTTGTATTTCATACATCCTTACCTTAAAAACCTCTACAAACTTGTGTCTTTTTCTTAAGATCTTTAAAGACATTGGGATTACTAATGAACAAGGTATTTACTTGTGATGAAATTTCAAGTGCTTTCAGTTATAGTCTGGAATAATGAATGTGTCGTACTGTGTTGATTTAGGACTAACTCCCCTGGAGAACGATGTTTCGCTGACATCAGATCGTCATGTCCTCGCCGTAGCTTCAGTATGTCTCGGCCTTCTCACCGTTTTCACTGTCTTTGCAAACGTCACCGTAATCATTGCTCTTTTACAGACTATCATAAACGACATAAGCTCAGCCAATCAGGAAACGGCAAAATTACTAAACTCCTTATGGCGTCCATGGCTGTCTCCGATTCATTGCTCGGCGCTTTCATTATGCCAATGTTCGTCTTGGAAGTGATTCACAATGGAACGTGGATCATTGGACGGGAGCTATGCATCTTCAAATATTGCGTTGATTATCTACTGAGTGCAGTATCAACCTTACACATTCTGGCCATGACCCTCGATCGCTACCTCGCGGTCTGTCATCCCCTAAAGTACAGACTTTTAACCAACAAGAACGCGTACATCATTTTAACCTTCACGTGGTTTATTCCTGCCAGCTTCATTGTGAGCTGGATTTCCATTGGATTAGAACACTTAAGGTACTGCGTCTACATACTGCCTTCAAACCCCCAGTGCATGATTCCCTCACAAAGTGGCACTGGAAATCTGTGAAATTTCCTCATCAACACCAGGAACAGAAACATTGCAAATCCCATCTACATGCATAGGAGCCAAAATGATCAATAAATTGATCGTGGGCCCTTCAGATATAGAAGAAGAAGAAGACATAAGACACGAGTGCAACATGTACAACTTTTCACCCGAGTTTCTCACCGCATTCGTCTGCAGCTTTGTAGTCCCTTTTATTATACTGTGCATTCTTTATTTTTGCATTCTACGGAAACTGGCACACTACAAAATATCTTTGCAGAAACGCATGTGCCAACATCACAGAGCCTCTTCTCGCTTGCATGCGCAGTCGGACCCTGCTGCCCTGCCCAGCGTGAAGTCATCACACCATAATATACATAATTTGCAAGGAAGTTTAAATTTTGTAACCGCAGTGGAGGCTTCTCTTCCTAATATTTTTTAACATTTCGAGTCTCGGAAACTCCACTCAAATTTTCACACAGGTAAACGAAACAGATTTTTCCGATTTCAAAGAGAGCGCACCGAATAGGAGAACTAAAATGTTTCGCACTATAGGCGCGGTGATGATAGGTTTCACCATTTGTTGGCTGCCTTCGTGGACACTGGCCTTGATTTTCTTAGTCAGGCGATACGTATTGCCAAACAGGTTTATGGTGTCCATTGCCTGGTTTGCCTACCTCAATTATGCCATTAGTCCCGTCTTGTATTGCTGTAACAGATCAGTCCGAAAATCTGTCAGATCACTTCTATGTCCACGATCGATGATACAATGAACCACATATGCAACACGTTTTTTAAGCACAAATACTAATAATTAATTACAAATTTTAATATAATAAACTAATAAATTTACAAATTAAGTAATTTTATATTTCTGTTGAATGTAAGAAACTAAAAAAAAGTATACGAATAACACTTATCTAAGTTCATGTAAAATTAAGACTGCATGATCATACATTTAATATGACACACAATGGGAGTCGCTTAGTCAATTATTTTGTCACGTGATATGAGTAAAAACGAGTAAGATTTCCGGTATACTGTATACAACACACTAGTGCTTGACAACAGTAGCCCGATACACACTACAACTACACTACATTTCGTCCAATGAAAATTAACAATAAAATAAACAAAGGGGAATGACTCCTGCATCAATATTGAATAAAAACGCAAATGACGTCATGAGCACGCACGGAGCTCAACAACATCCTGCCGATAATAGTATTGATAGTTCCCATCGAATATCGCTCACACATTTTTCTTGAAATAACTTTCTTCCTTTAATTATAACTGACGTATATTTATTGTCACATTTATGCATTTCATTTAAAAAACGCTTGCATTCCATAATATTACGAAAGGTAAAATTTTTAATTAACATAACATTGGGGAAGCACTGATGATCTGATGAAGTATCTTTTGTTGTGTGTTGCAGCCTAGTGATGACTTACTCATATCACGTGACCAAACAAGGAAGTGACTAAGCGACTCCCATTGGGTTACTCATTTACAGATTCTTTAATTGCTGTTATTTTATACTAACTATTTATATATAAAATACTACAATACATTTAACCTTATCTTAGATTTGAAAAATATACATATTATTTATTATGCACAATTTTTTTGGTCACTCGAAGTTTTTTTTTTTATTTTCTTTGCTGGAATCCATCACCCTCAGTGGTTCAATGTCGTAGACTTCGCATAACGAAATCCAAAAAGCCTGGGATTATTCTTCTAGGATTATAAGCGTCGCATGAATTGTCGGAATGTTTCATTGTGTCAAAGTTATCCACCTACTGGACTCCATCTACAGGTTTGAATTCAGATTTACCATCAACGCTTAAGGAGTCCCATTTACCTAGGGTGCTGGTGCTTGACTAGCCTTTGTTGGGGGTTGAACTCCAGACTATTGGCTTAGTTTAGAACACCCGGCCACTTAGCTTCTTATTATTGACTTTTGGATATTTCAGTGTTAGAATTTAGATTAGGGATTTATTAGTAGATTCCAATAATTAGATTTACCAAAATAAAAATTATCATGACAATGAAAGAACGAGGCTTTTTTATTACCATTCCCCTATTGGCTTTACTCTGGATTGTTCTTACAAGTTCCATATCCAGTTTTTCTTTTTTAAGTTAAATTAAGCTTTATAAATATAAGTAGGCTACTGTGTATGCTTCTGCGTCGATTGATGAATCTTGACCAAACTTTGACAAACATAAACTAAATGATCTAGATTTTGGGACACGTTTAAATATAATCCTTCTTTTTCATGAAAGCTGTTCAATACTTATAAGCGATAAAGTTATATCTATGTGCTTTGATCATTCGATTTTAATGAGAAATTAAAAAAAAAAAACACTCATTTTTTCTTTAAATTCTCTTTAGAACTTATAATACAAATCGGGCATTTGAGCTCCAATTTTAGTGTGACAACTTTCAATTGTCTACTTGTATATATTTTTTTTTCTAAATGAATTGACATAGACATTTATTTCATTAAAAACTATACTGAAACCACACCTTCGGGACTTGGTTTTTATTTTTGTTCTCTTCTTACTTCAGTTTGATTTAATAACAAATGTTTTGTAATTTTTTAACATTATTTTGTGATGGGATAACTTTTAAAATCAATAGGACTATAATATGTTTGTTTACGCATGATTTAAATTATTCGTGCGTCAATGTCAATAAAAATAATGACTATGGTTGTGGCCATTTTTGTCAGTCTTTTAGAATTTTATTTTAAAGTCTAATATATTAATGAATTTGTGAATTGGTTTTCAGAGGGCCCTTTATATAAATGTTAATAGAGAAATTTTACTTTTTTTTGTGTAAAAACGGGATACGCCGGGTATATTAGCTAGTATAATACATAGTAGTATTATATAATATACTATGTTATATTGTTACTTTATAATGTACTATACGATACCACTCTACAAACGTAGTATACTATACTCTGTTATATCATGCCATAATATAATATACTAGAAGATAATATACTTTATTATACTACTAACAGAGGCGCCACCTTCAGCGGTATTTACCCTCTTTTGATTTAATAGCTATGTTTCTGATTTATATTTAGTTTTGCGAAATTTAATTTTCATTTGCCATAACTGTGGCTATTTGGCAGGATTTTTCCCACCTTGGTCTTGGCATGATTATTCAATAATAATAAGTTTAACAAATTTCAAAATTCTTGTAAAATAACACTCAACACAGTTTTCTGGAACACATCTTTAAAAAAACAAACTTTTTACAAACCCTTAATAAATGCCGAAATCTAACCACTTATGAAAAACTACAATAATTACTACTTTACTATACCATTCGTATAAACATACTATATTATAACACACTATACTATAACATATATAATAAATTACATTTTATATAACACACTATACTATAACATATATAATAAATTACATTTTTATTATAATAAATATAAGTTAAAATTATATTTTAAAGCGTGTCGGGAATGGTTTGCATCATCCGCGTATAATTTAATGGAACCTATTTATTTAAAAGCTATTCTTTCATTTTGATTAGCTTTGAAGTCAAATTAGTGACGTTCTGCCATGTCAAGTACGAAAGTATAGATCTTAGAAGAATGAGATTAAACAGATTTTCGGAGCTCATTGACAATGAAATCAATGTCCCGCATTTCACGACGTCCGAATTTTCCGAGTAGGTTAATGTGTGTGCTCCATTTGATGGCTGGTTTCAACTATTGAGGGAACAATGTTGAATCGATATCGAAATGCGTAGATAATTCCAGCTCACTTTCAAATTTGTCATTAAAATAAATGATAACAGTGATGGTAACTTTAATGAATTGGGGTGGTGGGGGTGGGGGGGTGGGGCTGTAGATTAACTTGTTTATTTGTGTCGTATTTTCAATCAAATAGTCACCAAAATATTAAAAGTACTGAAACGTTCAATCTGAAAAACTCATTTAACAGCGGCGCATGCGTTGAATCGTTAAACGGCACGGTGAAAGCATTCATTTACCACGGTCGGTTGCTATGGAAGTAAATGTTTCCACGATACGTTAAAGTAAGGGCTGATACGGTTCCATCGAAGCGGTGTTTATCTTGCGGGTGACCGCTTAATGTTCCTGGGAAACTCCATGATTTTTTTATTTTGTTTCTGACATGTGTATTTAGCCGTGGCTTGGCGATTACAGGTAGCTGCTCAATGGACAGGGAACTTATTCGTGTGTAAACCATTATGGACAATTTGGTTTTTACAACTATTCTTTGTATTTTGTTGCTAACCTTTGGTAGATTATATGTATACAGTCAAGTATGCTGAAAAAAGCCGTTTTTTCTGGCAAAAATTTCTATATTTTCTTTACTGGCGTCACAACGCAGAGATATGTGTTTTCATAAAATATGTGCATTTGTTATTTCACATGTGAAATTGTGATGTGAAATGAAACCAATTATATGTCTAACACTATAAAGAAAAAAAGAACTTTTTCTCTTAAACACCATCAAATTGTTTCTATTACATTTAAAATATTTTTTTTAAAACCAACTATTTAAAAAAAAAATGAATACCTCCCAATGCTTTATGTTTCAAGCGAACTTAAAAAACTACACGGAAGTAATTTTTACGCAGCCTCATGTTAAATTATTCATCTCAGCTCTCCTGGCCGTGGTAACATTGCTGGGTATGTGTTTCAATGTGATAATTATCGTGGGTCTTCTTTTTGAGTTTAAAAGGTCGTCCAGGAGTCCTAACAATTGTGGCATCAGGACCAACAATCACAATCCCATGATGTTAATTGCAGCGCTTGCGCTCTGCAATCTGCTCTGCTGTGCCGGCGTAATGCCACTTGGGGTCATAGAGATCTTCGACAACGGAAAATGGAATCTCGGAGCCGAAATGTGTGTGATGAGATTTTTCTTAAGCAATTTCACACAAGGTTCATCCATCTACCATTTGATTTGCATGGCTATAGACAGATACATTTCTGTTTGCAAACCCTTCCAGTATAGAGTTTTAACCGATAAAGCTGGATATGTGATGATTGCTGTTTCTTGGATTGTTCCAGCTACTTTAGTGGGAACTCTCACAACAATGTCATTAACAGTCGATATCTATGAGAGCTTCTGGTCGAACAAGGTTCAATTGTTTCTCGGACTCATTGGCTTCTACGCCCCATTTTTAACCTTGTATATCCTGTATTTCCTCATTCTCGTTCAAGTGCGCGCGTTTCACAGTCGTCAACTCAAGCTTAGCGGGCGAAATTCAAAAAAAAATTTTCAGAGAAGGACTGAGTCCTTTAACACGACATCGTCTTTGTGGATCCTGTCAGAAAGCGCATTTACTACAGCAACACAAATTATAGACTTAAACTTAAACTACAATCACATAAAGGGAGAGAAGCGAAAAAATACAGTTTTGAACTGTTCATCCTCAATAGCATGTCCGTTTGCATCAGCTACGGTAAAGAGATGTACGGAGAAAGCATCTTTTGGGGTTCCTTCCTCACATAATCAACAAAAAACAAGGTGTGCTGCACCTACTTGTAACGATGTAGCAGATGTTAAGGTAGCGATGGTTTTCGATACCCACAATGAACATCGCGAGATAGACGCAACACGTCAAACATCGTCGCCACACATCCAACCGGTTGTTGCAACTTCCCCGATGAAAAACTTGAAGGCCTACCGCACGGTCGGTTGCCTGGTCATCTGTTACACGGTCTGTTGGTTTCCAGCGTGGACGACGATTTTCTTGGAGGACCAA